ATATATATATAATAAAAGAATAAATAAAAAAAAAACACGGAACAAAGAGAAGTAATGAGGTTATTGAGAAATTTTGCAAGTTTTTTCCTCGAGTGGATCAACCCTTCAAATTTTGTTGCCCAAAGACCCTATACATTCTTACTAGCATTTCTCTTTATATATATATATATATAATAAAAGAATAAATAAAAAAAAAACACGGAACAAAGAGAAGTAATGAGGTTATTGAGAAATTTTGCAAGTTTTTTCCTCGAGTGGATCAACCCTTCAAATTTTGTTGCCCAAAGACCCTATACATTCTTACTAGCATTTCTCTTAAGGTATCAATAAAAGACATCTCTCCCTGAAAAAAACACACAGAGAGAGAGAGAGAGGCTGGCCTAAAAGCTAGAAACACACATACACACACACAAAAGGATATATATATATATATAGATCAAATAACAAAATTTGGTCCGGTGAGACACTTACATGAATCCATCCAAGAGGAAAAAGGGATAATTTGTCTTGAACTTCAAATATTTCTTCCTCGTTCAATGTTTGACACTGAAATGACAAAAGAGGCAAACAAAAAGAAGAGTTTAAGCACAATATTGTCAACGTTAAGTAAATATATGATTCTAACGCTGCCTCTGGTAAATTGACTTATATAACAGGGGAAGAATCGGAAACCAAAGCTTCTTACCATTCCAAAGACAATCGAAAATATAGACTGAAAGCAACATGATAATGAGACGAAAAGAAAACAAAAATAAATATGACAGAAAGAGGGAAAAAAAACAAAAATCAATCTTGAAGGGAAAATAGCAGTAGCACAGCATAATCATAGATGTGTTTTTCCTTACCGAATCAGAGGTTGACTCCTGCTTAGGGACTATGAGAGTAGTGATGTGGAAAACCCTATTTTTCTGCAGCCACATGAAAATAAAAGCATAAGAACCAAAGCACCCTTTAATAAACTTTAATTCTGTCAAAAACATCGTAATATAATTTGAGAGGGGGTGGGGGACCAAATATCTATTGACTTGTTTCTTACCAGTGACCCTGCAAGAACACCACATGTCTCTAAGTTTTTTTCCGTATTTGCGCGAGCTAATCTCAAGAAGTCCTCCATCAATCTTACAGGCTGCAAAATATACATTAAAGTACAAAAGCATCAAGAATAAGAAGCGTATTATATTAGCAAATAAATTGAGAATGTGATGGCAATCAAAAGCCACCAAAAAACAGAACAAGTGTTTTGCAAATTATAGTTTTAAAAAAAAAAAAGGGACAGCATAGGGGACTTACAACGTGTAGATGTTGATATGAATTAGAATCTGGCATCCCATCCGGAGAAGGTTTTGCAGGTCCAGGTCTTGGGTCTGCAACTTTTGATGGAGGAATTGGTGCGTGATTCTGCTGTACTCGAGCAAGTACAGGGGGCGGGCAAGGTTGGTGGATATTGCCAAGCTGGAAAGGACCCTCCCTTGCCTCATTAATCAACGGAAAACATGAATCTTCAGTTGGATGTAGCCATCTGCCATCATCTAGTGAGAGTACTGCATCAATTGTAGATTGAATTCCTCCTGAATTGCTATCTTCTTGTCCAGCCTGATTCAGGCTTTTACCAAATAATGACAAAAGTAGAGCATGTTACAACAAGCAGCCACAATTTACTAAAAGAACCATAAAATATGCATAAATAAATAAATAAGACAAAAGAAACAGACATTGCAAAAGCACATAAACTTAAAGGTAACGTTTGCAGAAATCCTAACCCTGAATCTATAGGGAAGTCAGTAGGCGTTAAGTCTGTACTGTTTGGATACTGAACCTGTATTGCACAGGAGTATTGACCCATTAGTAAATTCATCAAACTTTTTCAGAAAAGTAGTTTTAGAGCCAAGCAAACTTTACCTTAATCTCTGCACTGGGTCCAAGCCACTGGCCTCGAAGACCATTTGGACCTAAAAACGAATGTCTAGACAAAGTCTCCTTATTTGGCTGAGGTAGTTTAATGGATCTGTACATTTAAGGAAAATCTGTTAGGTATGCATGACTTACATAAAACATCTTACCACAAAGTAAGCGGTTCTACTTTTTTTCGTGGAAACTTTCAGCTGCAACCTAGTAGCACACATTGGTTGTAGATTGCAACAGGTATATGTCGCAAAAATAAATACAATAGACAGAGACGCCAAAAGTACACTTCTTAAAAGCAAAACTATGATTGATGAGGGAAGGTTCACTATTCTTGTGGACAATCGACACCAAAGTTTTCAAGGCAAAAGCATAACAGGGAAAGTTCGCAATGGGTCCTCAAGAACTTCCCAGCACGATTGACAAGATAGGATTTGCTAAAAAAGGCAATTTATCATTCTCATATCCAACTTAAATTTTCAATAGAAGGAAGTTTTTATATCAAAAAAAGAAGGAAAAAAATCATAGCCAACTAGCAGGGTATAAAGTAACAATTTTGTGGGAAGGAAATATGGTAGTGAGAATTGAAAAGGGCAGAAAATTTAACTTCCTAAATTCTAAAACCATCTTAATTTTGGGCAGCTAATCTTAATGAGCACGATCTATATGGCTATTGATTTTGAATCAAACAAAGCAGCTAAGACTACTGTTTAATGGATATTACGTCTCTATTCAATAACGTCAACACTAAATATTTACTCACAGCTTCTGGAATTGCTTGTCAATTTGTGTAGAATTCTGTGAAACCCAAGAATAATCATTGTTATACTTCCATGAAGACTGTGGGGTTGTACTGGTAGGCTGCAGAATTTTTCAAGATAGAATTAAGCCAACAAAATAGAAAATCTACACTTTAAAGCAGGAAAAAACTAAGAGAACAAACGAACAGACTGAACAACGTAAAATGCCCGCAAACTTAATAATCAAAACAATACAAAGAACAAAGACGAACCAACATTATGTTAATATTATGGTCAAATCAGCGATTGCGAGACAATGTCACCTGCTTAACGTTGGTACTAGAAAACTTCTTAGTCTCAGGAGGCCACCCTAGGGATGTTTGGGATCCATATGAAGTCCTTTCTGGGCCATCAAGCTGTGGCAGCTGAGTTCCAGAATGCGCCTCATTAAGTTCTCTCACTCGGCGGTCGGCTTCTGGCTTTATAGCTTCAAGCTCATCTAGTATACTTAACAGTTTCTGGAATACCACAACAACAACCAAATAGGATCATATTAACCTACACATTGAACGTGCAAAAGACAGTAACTAGAAATGATAATATACTTTACCTTCTTATATAATATTCTCTCCTTTGGAAGAACAACCTGGTAATCTCGATGGTACGGTATAGTTTCAGACACCAAACTGTGAACAGAACAAAAAGAATGATAATATAATATGAGCTTCTGCATTCAGAATGTATATATATTTGCTATTGCAACATTATTCCATACCTTGAAAATCTAAGAAGCATTATATAAAAATCCACAAGATTCCTCTCCTCCCTGTATACACTAGCCTGAGCAAAGAGAATAATAATTGATAAATATCTTAAGCATCTCATCTCAGAATTCAAATAAAAATATTCCTTTTGCCAAGAATTATCAAAAAGAGAAAAAACAATTTAAAAAAAAAAAAAGCAAAAGACAGGAAATTTTTTTTCCCTGCTTGAAACACAGGAAGCCAAATTGCTCGTAGAAAGCATAATCAGTAAAGCACAAACCGTTGCATGTATTACGGAATAGAAAAAAATGGTGAATGAAAAACATAATTTAATACGAAACAACGGGCAGTGTATTAGCAGTCAAAATCCTGGTCATAAGAATGCTAAGAATCGAGATTTAACAGTAAATTACAGATACAGAGAAATTGAATTCATAGTTGTAAATGGACTCAAAACCCTCTTACTAAACCCAAATTCCACAAATTCCATGAAACTTTGCAAAATCGAAACCTTGCACAACAACGAATTGAAACCTTGCAAAATCGCACATTGCATAGGATTTAATATTCCAACTTCCAAAAATTATCCTTTTTTTGTTTTTTCTTGAGCAAGCACAAGAGAAGCAGCAAAGCTCAAACCTTGAAAACGGAATTTACAGACTTCTAACAATAATTGGAGGAAAATGAGAGCGAAACTCGATACAGCAGTGAAAACCGAGGATTTCAACGGCGAATTTCAGATGGAGAGAAATAGAATCACCTGTTTGAGGAGATTATCGGCGATCCGATAGTAGTAGCGGAGAGGAATCCGATTGTCGACCTCGACTTTGCGAGCTATGGAGTTGACGTTGATCTTCATCGTCTTCCTCCGGCGGTGAATGCCAGGACTCCGTCACTCCGGTTAGATTTCCCGGCGATTCTCTGCGTTTCTCACTTTCTCTCTCTATATCTAAATCTCTGATCCCGAAACTTGTGAGGAAAGTTAAACACGTCGTTTTGGTAGGCAAGGAAGGATACAAAGGAATTGAGAGGAAGATTGCTTTGCTCATGTCGACATGGTGGTGATCTTGCAGGACGGTTTTGGTACGATGAGGTGGCGACCACGGCATTTTCAATGGGTAGAAGAAGGGGGTTCCAAAGAAAATGGATATTTCACACATTTACCCATTAAACTTGTATAGTTTTAATAATTTACCCTCATAATTTTTAATTTTAATAGATTTTTCTCTCAACTTGTAAAACTATTATAATATGCACCATTTTAATGATGGTTGGGTTAAATTAGTATTGAAAAAATATATTTGACGAAAAATTTTAACATCTCAATTTAAATATAACACAAATTTTTTTAATTTTTAATCTTTTAAATTTAATAAAACGATTTGAGCAAATTTAGTAAAAAAAAGGGCATATTATAATAATTTTATAAGTTCGAGATGAACTGTCAAAATTAATGGCTCGTTTGGCTTACGCTTTTAAATTAGTGATTTTAATTTTAACTCTAAATTTAAATTTTATGAGAGAGTCTATTGGTGGGAACTTTTTTTATTCAATTTTTTTTTTTGGAAAATAGTAGAAAATAGGCCAATATGAAAAACTTAAGAAAGTATATAGGCAAATTTTTAGTTATAGAAATTAATAGGCCATAACTTGTCAAGTTACGGTTCATAACCAGATAAGTTATGGACAAACTTGTCAAGTTATGATTCATAGCCAGACAAGTTATAGAGAAAACCCGTGAATTATGGACAATAACTTGTCAAGTTATGGTTCATAACTAGACAAGTTATGGACGAAAACAGTAATTTGGCCTATTTATTAACTTATGTAAACTATTGGTCTATTAATTTTAATTCATCTCAAGTCTTAACCTATTTCTCTCTTTCTCTTTTTTTTTTTATGAGATAGTATAATTAGAATCATGGTTTAAGTCTTAAAACTAAACGGAGCATAAAAGTTTTGGAGATAATATTCTAAACCGCAGCAGGGAGTAATTATGCGAAAAACCAAAGAAAATAAAAAGAAAACATCTCTTTGAAATTAATGATGGAAAACGACAGCTATTTGGTCTCTCTGTTGTTCGTGTCGTTTTTTAAAAATGTATGTGGTAAATGGGTTTTTACAGTTAATTACCGGAAAAAATTTATTTTTTGACAATTGGCACTGAGGTCGTTATTTTGAAAATTCGTATAATTAGGTTCCCGAACTCATATTTACTACAATATTTTTCTCTCACATACACAATTTAAGACCTCAACTTGAATTGTGAAACAAATGTACATAGCCTTAGAAATTTGAGTCCTCAAACATTGACATGACTAATGTTTTAAAGTTTATGATATTCATCACACATTACCGAATTTAGTATTTTCTTTGTCCTCTTTTTTAAGATTCCAGTAGGTTTTTAATAAGAAAAATGTATGGGTGGAGTTGTCATCTACTTGGTAGTTTGAGGAATAAGTAGACAAATTTGACTCCTTTCTTTCAATATACCAAACGGCAAACACCAAGCATATCGTATATCACTAGATCGCCTCCTCACCATTTCAGACAAAAGCAGTTACGTTTTACAAATAAAACCAACTTTATTGCAATACATACCATTAAATATATATATATATATATATATGTTACACATGCAATAAACCATGTCCTATAACTATTAAGCCAAGCACAACCATAAGCTGGATTACAACTTTCTGTGCATTGCTTTCTTCAGCTTGGACGTGCTCCTCCACATTAAAATCGCCTGCATATTTCAGAAAATTATGTCATAACGTGACACTTGACTATTAACAATCATGAACTAAATTAAAGAATATTAGAAAGATTTGTGATTAGAGTCCAGAGAAACTTCCACGTTACCTCTTTCTGGTCCATACCCACATCCTGCATGGATAGTGTCTCTAATATCTTGTATTGTGGCTTTATTGTAGAACACAAAGTGGGTTAAAATGTTATCTATGCAGTCCAGCACAAGGTATGTCTCTGTCAGGCACGGCCCGCCGCAGTAGGTGTCGGTCATGTCCCGTGGCACGTCGACATTGCCACTCGCGGTTAATCTGTAAGATTCTTCGCAGCTACTGTAAATCTAAGAAACATAAGAAGGTACGTGTGAAAAAATTAGACGTTTTCCTTCCATTTTTCTCTCTTGATTTCTACCATACAATATTGAAAAAAAAAAAAAAAAAAAGTTCTCTTATTCCTTTTTATTTTCCCGACCTTGGTATTTCGCTTCTCTTTCGTTTCTATTTTCCGTCCTCCTTACCAAAAATAGCATTAGTGTGCTTATAGTTTTGGATTTATACTTACATATTTGTCATTGAAACATAGCAATGCTTTGGCAACAATTTGAGCTGGATAATAACCCACAGCGCCTGCGCCAGCGCCTGTGCCTGTGCCTGCGCCAGCGCCTGCGCCCGCGCCTATTGCAGGCTCATGATCTTCTGTGCCTGTGCCTATCGTAGGCTCATGATGTTCTATGCCCGCGCCTATTTCAGGCTCATGATCTTCTGTGCCTATGCCTAATGCGGGCTCGTGATCTTCTGTGCCCGTGCCTATTTCAGGCTCATGATCTTCTGTGCCTGTGCTTATTTCAGGCTCATGATATTCTTCTGCTTTCCCTGATAAGCCCAACAATAAGTGTCAAGCCTAAATAAATCCTTTCCAAATGTAATTACTAATTAATATATCAAAAAAAGTGAAGCTGGGATTTTTATGTTTCAGTGTTACGTACCTGCTATGGTGCAAAACACAGAAGTGAAGATCAAAACTGAGATTATTAAAACACAAATTCTAAGAGCACTATATGCTAGTGCCATTACAGAAGCTTTTGTATACACAATCTTGAAAGAGAATGTGGATGAAATTAGAGCTGAATATTTATATATCAACACGGTTTAATAAAACATGGCAAAAATACTATGTTATCTACTCAAAGCTATATTGCCAACCATACTACTTTTCTTGCAGAATTTGACAAGTGATGAACTATTTTTCATGTCTGGTTTTATTAATTATTACATCTTTTCTACTTAACCAACCAGCATTAGTCATGTTGTACCTTTTTGTGCAAATACTGAAAAGAATCTACCTTCAAGAGGAAAATGTTAAGAAAGTGAAGAAAAGTTGGTGGGTTTTTTGGGGAAAAGAAGATGTATCATGGAATGGGATTTCTTTCTCCAACGGGTTAAAATTTGGAGTCACAGAGAGGACTTAAAAGAGAGAAAGTGCATAGAGTTAGTTAGAGTGCAAGTCACCAACTTCTATGACTTGCTGAGTGAGGACTTGGTTCTTGTGTGTTAGAAATCAAACCTAAAATGGTTAATTAGCTTTTCATATATACTTCAAGGACACGTTAATTAGGTGGCATATAATTAGTCTAAATTTGGTATTTGGCTCAATGACTTTTATTGTGTGCAAATTTGGCTCAATGAGATTTCAAAATTAGTGAAAGTGTTAAGCGTTATGAGCAATTTGGGACAAAAAATAAAATAAAATTAACTTTACATACAAAAAAGATCAACTGCTACTAAAATCTTTTTTTTTTTTTTTTTTTGTTGGAAAGAAGATTTTAACAATATTCGATACTTTGTTAGTTTGTTTCATAAACAAAACTTCTTTTGGTCCCTTTGTGATATGAAACTGCAACAACAGTTTGTCAATAGTTGAGAAGGCTTTTGGTGGTTGAATTAAATAAGAAATTATTTTCCAAGTATTTCCACTGTGAAGTCATTTCTAGAATACAATAGAAGATGCTGCAATTTCACAACATATGAATTCAACTTCTCAGAAAATGGTGTCATCCCAAATTCCTTTTGGTCACCTGATAAATCTCACTTAATAACCTCTGGTTGAGATGAATATCAGCCAAATTGTGCTTTTTTACATTTCCAAGTTCATTTTGATCTCTTATCCAACAAAAAGTAAAATGCCTCCTAATTTGAGCCGAATAACTCAGCTAATGGCACATGCTAAAGTTACTTTCTAAATTTCCATTTTCTTTGGTATAAATTATAATGTCACCTACACTGACAAGCAGTAATCCATTGTCCCTCGCACCAAGAGAAAAGCAAGATTCAAGCTGCAAAAAACAAAGAAAGGTCTCTATTAGTTCAACACTTCCTTTTTCTGTAATGAAGTACTTGTTAAGGGACACTAAGAACATGCAAATACAAGACAAACCAACAAATAAGTCATTGCAATATTGCCATTGATTTCAGTGAAGTTAAGACGTTTACCATTGTGTTTAGAATAAAGTCCATGATTTGACATGAATTTTGTTGTGCACGAGTAAAAACTCAATATCCAAACAATGCAACGAGTTATCTGCCTGAAAATGTGAAAATCTTGGGGGAGGCTTGTTGGAGTAGTCTTATTTCTTGCGACATAACTATCATATCCTCGGATTTCACATAAGCAATCACCAAAGAACAGCCAATTTTTTCATAATCCATCCGCCTTCCAAGCGAAACTCTAACCAAAGCAGCACGAACGTGAGATATCGAACCAAAAATGTCCCCTCCTAATCATCAAAGACGAATTGTTCCCTATAATTGAAACTCTTTACTATACTCCGTGCCTCCTCAAATCGCGCTTGCCGGACTAGGGAGTCCAAGATTAAACTACAAGTATGAGATTCAGGAGTACAACCATTTGCTTCCATAGATAAAAAAATCTCCTTGGCTTCGTCAAATCTCCCCGACTTACATAATACCCGAATAAGAACATTATAGACCGAACTGTCAGGAACCAAGTCCAGTTTCAACATGGAACGGAAAAGATTCTCGGCTTTCTCAGCCTTATTCATTTTGCAAAAGGTTTGTACAAGCACATTGAAGGAAGAAGCGTCTGGCTTTATTCCATCTGCTTGCATCTTATTAAGAAGTCTCATTGATCTACCCGTATCTCCAATCACGCACAAAGCGCGTATCAATGTGTTATACACGCAAGAATTTGGAGCAACACCCCACTCAAGCATTTCAGATAAACAAGCAAAAGCCTCCTCTATCTGTTTTAGTCGACAAAGGCCGTCAATTATTGGGCTAAAAGTGAAAATATCCGGTTTAAATCCATTCTCTAAGACCATCACCAACAGTTCCCTTGCCCTGCTTAGCTCTCCAACCTTACAATACCCATTAATGAGTGTGTTAAGAGTGACAAGGTTAGGGGCAATGCCTCTGAGCCGCATTTCCTCAAAAGCCTGGAACGCCCTTCCTATCATTTGTGCTCTGCAAAAGCAGTCAATGACCATGTTATAAGAGTAGACATTGGACACAAGCCCATCTTTGATCATTTCATCTAAAAATTCATCCCCCACTTCAACTCTTCCCCCTTCATACATAGCCTCCACCAAAGCAAGATAAGTACTAAATCCGGGCTTCACCCCTCGCTCGACAAAATTTTCGAATATCTCATGCGTCTCGTTAGCATCCAAATCCTTTATCAAACAAGTTATCGCCATATTAAATGTTGAACTGTCAGGCAAATAGCCTTTCAATCCGGCTTCTCTCAAAAACTCGGAAGCTTCTCTTGCCATGGAATTATTAGCCAGGCAAAAGAGTATAGTGTCACAAGCTGATCTAGAGTAAAGAGACTCCTTCTCCACAAACCTAAAGAGCAACTCGACCGCCTTCCTCGGCGACACGCAACGAAAAACCCCGTGAACCAATGACCTTATAGTAGCCTCATTTGGTCTCACATTTCTCTCCTTCATCGTCTCCAAAACCCCAAAAGCCTCCTCAACCCTCTTCGAGTTACAAAACCCGTCGATTAGTATAGTATAAGTAAACACATTAGGACAATACCCAACACTTTCCATTTGCTTCACTAGCCTAAGGGCTTCATCCACCACACCAACCTTACAAACTCCATGGATAAGAATATTGTAAGTAAACCTATCAGGAACACAATTATCAGATGTCATCTGTTGGAACTTCAAATAAGCCAAGTCAAGAGAATTCGACTTCACCAACGCATCTATAACAGCATTATAAAGCCTTGTGCTTGGAGAAAGACCCAAAAACGAAATCTGACCAAAAACTTCAACACAATACTTGGCCAAACCCAATCTCCCCCAACTACCAATCAAAACACAAAGAAGATCCTCACTGACACTAAAACCAGATTTCTTAATCTCCTTAACCAAATCAACAGACAAAACTACAGGACCATTCCTATAAAAAGCATTTCCTAAAACTCTCCGAACAGACTGATTCCTCGTCAGAGAGGGGTCGACACTCGAAACCCATAAGTAAAACCTCAAAGGGAGTAAAGGGTTTTCTTGGTTCTGCAAAACGCTGACGACAAAGCGGGGGTTTAAGGAGACCCGCTTGGATTTAAGCTCGTGGGTCAGCAATACGACCCAGTCGTGACTCGAGAGAACTCGAGTTATGTAGCGGTGATCGACGAGAGAGTTATTGTTGTTGGTATTGTTCTTACCTGGTGTAGGAACTTGGATTTGAGGTTTGATGGGAACGGGATTGTGGGGTTTGTGAGATGGGTTTCGGAGAACCGCAGGTGAAGCCCTGGAAGCTAGAGAAGAAAAACCTCTCATGTCATGTCGTGTCGTGTTCCTTGAAGACAGGAAGGAAAGCGATGACCGAATGGAAGCCATTGTCGTTCGTAGAGTAGAGCTTGGTTGGACGGGTTATTGGGCTGGGTTCTGAGTTGGGCTTAGTTAGCAGTTCAAGCTTGGAAGCTATAGGCCTTAGCAAAACAGTGTACAATTTTCGAGGAAAAGGAAACGAGGAAAAAAGGAGGAACCTAGCTCAAATTTTTACTATTTATTCTTAATTAATAATTTTTTTAGTCAAATAATTATACTAATAAAAGAGTATTAATTAATAATAAATGATAAAAATTTAGACTCATACACTCTTAAGATTAAATTTTATAATTTTCTCAAGGAAAAAAAAACAAATACCCCTTAAACATACCATTTAAAAATGTTTGTGGTCAGAAATTTTATCTTTTACTCTTACTTAATAACTTTTTTAATTAAATAATTATACTAATAAAAGAGTATTAATAAAAAATAATACAATGTTAATGTAAGCACAGCA